TAAAGGCAAAATGAAAACTGGTTCCTGCTCTCAAAGAGCTAACACTTCCCTGGAGGAGAGAGATCCAACACGGAAAGAGCCAAGAGCCTACGTCACCACTGGAGGTACAGGAGGAAGAGAATACAACCAAAGGAGCCAGGAAGGCCTTCCCCTGAAAGGTGGTTCATGAGCCCTCCTGAGAGGGAGAAGGCAGGAAGCGGATACCTCCAGCACGGGGCAGAGAGCTCTGGGTGAGGTGAGAAACGGGGAATAGGATGTCAAGGATGGGCAATGGCCCATTGGCCAGTCTGGCTGAACAAAGAGAGGAGGATGGGGAGCCATGGGAAATAAGCAGGCCTGGATGAGTGACTAGGAAGGCTTTAACTGCCAAGCCAGAGCTCATAGTTTATTTTGGAGACAGCAGGGGGCGCTGTAGGGCACAGAATGCTGGGCCTGGAGCCAGCAAGACCCGAGTTCAAATGTGACCTCAGATACTTCCTAGCTGAGTAATCCTGGGCAAGTCATTTAACCTGTCTGCCGCAGTTTCATCATCTATAAAATGGGGATAATAATAGCACCCACCTCCCAGGGTTGATGTAAGGATCAATGAGATAATATTAAGTGCTTAATTAACATAGTGCCTGGCACATAGTAAGTGCTTAAGTAATATTAGCTATTATTATTATTATTATATTATTATTATTGAAGGTGCCTGAGTAGAAGTGGCACGGTCAGAATTCTGCTTTAGGAAGATGATTTTGGCAGAAACCATGAACTCTTGGTCTGGGAAGGCCTGTGTATGTCCCATTATGGGTCCTAGCCCAGGCCCAGTCCTGGTACCTTCTCAAAATGTCCACTTCGGATATAGTAGTCGGCCAGTGAGCACCACAGCTTGCCGAGCTGGTCAGTGAAGCGGGTGAGGCCCCCTCGGATGATGGCGCCCACGTTTAAGGACTGCACTTTGTCAGGATTTTGGGAGATCAGGTCACACAGTTCATGCCACAGCTGGAGAAAAAGAGGGGAGGGGCTCAGCTCCATGGCTCCCTCGGCTCTTGGCCTGGGCCTGGGACTTGGGAGGGGTCTGTATGTGCGTGTGAGAGTCTGTGTCTGTGACTGAGGTGATGTCAGCGTACGTGACCGTGCAGCACCAAGCAGGCGGCAGGTTGTAATGAAAAGATCACCAGAACCGGAATCACAGAAGGACCTGGATTCCAAGCCTGGCTCTGCTACTTATTACCTAGGTGATTGTAGACAGCCTCTTCTCTTCTCTGGGCCTCAGTTTCCTCATCTGCAAAGTGAGGGGTTGAACCAGATGACCAGCTCTGGATCTCGGCAATCCCAGATCAAGTGTGACTGTGTGGCTGTGTCAGCATTTGTGTGGGGAGGGCAAGTTTGGGTTGCTGGGGCCTCCTGGGAGCTCTGAAGAGGGTCGGGGGCTGGGGGCCAGGAAGGGCTGAAGCCTGACCTGGTAGTTGGACTTTCCTTCCTTGGAGACAAATCTTTCATCATTGACCACGGTTGCCAGGCGCTGAGCTGCTTCATCCAGCCGGTCGATGGAGCGCAGGTACTCGATGTATTCCTCTGCACTCTCGGGGCTCAGCTGGGGAACCCCCAACAAAGAAAGTGGTCAGTGCTCCCCCACCCCCAGCCTCAAGAGGTCCTTGCCCATCCCCTCTCCAGTGCCCATCTCATCCCATGGAGCTTGGTTTTGGGGGTCGGGGGGCAAGGGGCAGGAAATCTTATAGTTGCATGATCAGCTGCCCACGCCCCTGGACCCACCCACATGGCTCATGGCTCACCTTGAGGAAGCGGCGGTATACACGCACTGCAGTCTCAGGCAGAGGGTGGGAACGTACAAAGCGAAGATAGAGGGGCCAGATGCGTGAGTGCTGAGTGATGGGCAGAGCTCTCAGGGCACGGTCGAAGGTGCGCCGGGTCCGAGTAATGCGGCCCTGCTCCATCAAGAACTGGCAGTAATCCAACCACAGACGCGGCATCTAGAGCAGAGAGAAGGCAGAGGTCCCCTCGTGCTCCCGCCTCCCCAGCCCCGGACACCTCAGATTCCTTCTGCCCCCTGGTCCCCGATCACCAAGGGCTCACCTTGTGCATGAAGACCAAGGCCCGCTCATGGCAGTTGTTGACATCCTCATAGGCAGGGTCAGTCACACAGCGACGCTTCACCTGGGCCCGACGGGCTTTCAGGTAGTGGTACCACAGCTTGTAACTGGGTGACAGGAGAGGGAACGTGCTTGTGAACACCATCACAGCCTTTCCCTTTTCCCTGCCCAAGCTCCACTTTCCCATGCTGAGGTGCCCCATAGGGGAAGGAGATGGAGGGGAGACTGGGAAGCAGAAGGGCCCCTTACCTCCCAGGCAACTCCTTGAGGGCTCGCTCATAGAGCAGATTGAGCACAGCCTGCGATGAACTCTGCTTGAACTCGATGTACCGAAACCAACACTTGACAGAGAAAGGGTTGCGAAGGATTTCCTCCTCATACTGTAAATCTTCCTCCTCCTAGGGAGACAAGGGGCCAGAATGTTGCAAGCAAGCCGGGCTCCCTCCTTCCCAATCCCATCACTGAATCCTCAAAATTGTCCCCACCCTGCTCCGAATCCCACCCCCGCAAAGCTGCTCTCCTCTCGCTGAGACAACTGTGCCACAGTGGGAAGATTCAGGAGGGCTGGGGTAAAATTCCACCTTCTACACTTCCTATGTGACCCTAGGCAAACCACTTCATGTCTCTGGGCCTCAGGGGATCAGAGTCTTCCTATTTCCAAGCCCCCCGTTGATTTACTCACTAAATTCCTGTTTCCTCTCTGAGCAAGTAGGTCACTGGCAAAGGTAACATATTTAGGTTCGATGGCAGGAAAAACTTTCTAGTAACCGGGCCTATCTCAAAGCAGGATGAGCTACCCCTGGAGGTGGTGGGTTCCCCTTTATTTGAAGCCTTTGATCATGCTACAAAGCTCGATGGAGAAGGGGCTCTTGTTCGGGTACAGGTTGGATTAGGAAGCCGCTGAAGTCCCCTCCAACTCTGACACGATCTGTTTGTGTCTGTGACTGGAGAGATGCTCTTGTATAGTCCCTGCCGGGCTCGACATCCGGCAGCATCTCATGTGCCCGTATTACCTAGTCTCTGCATCTGGCTCCGTTTCCCTGAGAAACGCCCCCAATGTCCTCTCTTTTCTCGCCACTTTCACAAGTCATAGCAACAGCCTTCTCCTTGGCTCCCATTTGTCCACCGCCCACCGTTCCACCAGACGGGCAAGGGCTTGCACCCCAGAACCAGCTCTGATCCAGTTCAATTCACCCCATGTTTATTAAATACCCGCTACAGCCGAGCACTTCATAGGGCAGCGAACCAAAGCTTAAGGAGGCACAGAATCTTAGAACTGAGGGACCGCAAAGGGCCTCCAGTACTCATACTCACAATAACAGCTAACATTCATACAGCACTTACTATGTGCCAGGCATTGTGCTAAGCACTTTATTACCTCTTTTGATCCTCACAGCAATTGGGAAGTTGGTGCCATTATCACTCCCATTTTACAGATGAGGAAACGGAGGCAAATAGCAGTTAAGTGACTTGCCCACAGTCACACAACTAGGAAGTTCCTGAGGCTAGATTTGAACTCAGATCTTCATGACTCCATCCTCAGAACTCTATCCCCAAAAATGATCACGCTGCCTTAGCTTGAAGATGTCCAGTGATGGGGAACTTCGAAGCCCCTGGGACAGCTCTAAGTGTATGTTTTTCCTAACATCAAACCGACTTCTTTTAAATTTCCATCCACTGTTCTTCATTCTACCTCCTGGGTCCAGGCAGGGGGAAAAAATCTGAATCTTTCTTTACAAGTTTTTCACATAGTTCCCGTGATATGACTCTGTCCTAACCCTTGTTCAGTTTACAGTTTAAGAGAAAGGCATCAACCGAGAAAACTGCAATAGATAATATTACTGAGTAAGTGCAGCAGAAGGGGTTCAAGGCCACGTGAAATCTGAAAGGGTGTTATTAGCTCAGGGACAGGAGATTCAGGAAAGCTTCCTGGAGGAGAGGACGGATGGATGGGCCTTTAAAGGGAAGCCAGAAATTCATCGGGTGAAGGGGACATAGAGTACCCCAGGCAATGGGAGCAGGAGGAGCACACAGGCAAGAACACGGTCATACCGAAGCACAGATCATGGTCCAGCTTGACAGCCCTATGCTACAAGAGGGGAATAACACGTTTGGAAAGGGGCTAGACTGTGGCAAGCTTGGAATGCCAAGCAAGGGAGTCTGAACTTTACCGGGGAGGCCACAGACTGAAGATTTCTGAGCAAATCTCAGCCATCTGCGTAAGAAATAGAGTATCCTGGAGATGGGGAGCTCTTTGAGGTCCTGATCCTTTCCTCTGCTCTGCTCAAGAACCTGCAGTGACTCCCTAGGGCTCACCCTGAGTCTGAACCATTCCCTTTGCTCCCCACTTCATCTCTCATGAATAGCACAAGGAGACGAGCATCCAGGCTGATTCCCAGGGCCGCAGCCTCCACTTCGCCCACTCCCAGGTTCGCGGAGGCTCTTGCCTGCGCCTGCGCACTCCTTGCCTCCGTAGGGCTGGCGTCTCCCCATCCTAGGTTTTGGACCCCGCCCGCCGCCCCGTGAAGTCCACCACGTCTGTGCGCTCCTCCCGCTCGTACTCACGAAGAAGAGGTCGGCCCTCTCAGGCCGAGCCTTCAGCTTTGCCTCGGCTGGAGCTGCATCCCCGATCTCAGGCATCCCCGCGTCTGCCCGGGTTGCACTGACCAGCCCTTACACTGTGATCCCGCCTCTATCCGTCCTGGCGCCGTTCCTCATTGGCCAGATGTAGCTCACTTCCGTACCCTCCCTCCGAACAACTTCCGCTTATTCTGGCCTAGGGGAAGAGGCGTGACACCCTCTCCGAGGCTCGCTTCCGCTTTGAGCCGCTCCGGCCAATAGGCTCCAGCATCCAAGCTCGGGCTCTAGCCAATGGCTTTACATCTTGCTGCGGAGTCTACTTTGGGCGGATGTGGCTTCAGAGACTGGCGGAAGCAGCCGTCGGACCTAACAGGATGGGGGTGAAGCTGGAGGTTTTTCGGGTCAGTGCTGGGGGACTGGGGCGTGTGGGACAGTGCTTCTCGGGGCCTGTGTCTGGGGCAGGTAGGGGCCTTTGGGGATGGAATCTAGAAGCTGAACATATTGACACCCCGTCCCCCACGCCCTTATCCCTATTCCATGACTGCCCCCTCCCTACCGCCTGGTTAGGCAGCGTTACCTAATGTGGAGCCAAAAGATGCTTCTTCTGAATCCTTCCGAGGCTCTTTAATTTGGCTCTGGGGCCTTCCATGTGACAGCCCTTCAAACATTTGAACCCACTAGGTGGCTCAGTGGATAGAGCTCTAGCCTTGGAGTCAGGAGGACGTGGGTTGAAATCCAGCCTCAGACACATGACACTTATTAGCTGTGTGACCTTGAGCAAGTCACTTAACCCTGATTGCCTCATCAAAAAAAAGAAAAAACCCACAAACATTTGAACCCAGTAGCCCTCTCCTCTCCCCTCCCCAGTCTCCTCCAGCCTTCTCTTCTCTGCGTTAAACATGCACCTCCAGTTCCTTCAACTAATCTTCAAGTGATAGGAACTCAGAAACCATCACCTTGGGGTCACCTTCCTCTTGTCACTCTGCGATCTTAAACTATGATTCCTAAAACTGAACAGATGACTCCAAATGAGATCTGATCCATGGTGATGATGAGGATGTATTTATATAGTGCTTTAAGATTTTGCAAAGTATGTTACAAGTATCTCATTTTATCCTTGCTAGGAAGGGAGTAAGCATATATTAAAGCTCCTGATATGTGCTGTAAGTGCTTTACAAATAGTATCTCATTTAATCCTGGCAACAATCCTGGGATGCAGATGCTGTTATTACCCTCTTTTTACAGTTGAGGAAACTGAGACTTAGAGAAGTTCATCGATTTGTTCAGGGTCATAGTAAGTGTCTGAGGTAGGATTGGTGCCCTAAGTCCGCTCTAAAGACTGTACTAGGTGGGGCAGCTAGGTGACACAGTGGATAGAGCACTGGCCCTGGATTCAGGAGGACCTGGGTTCAAATCTGGCCTCAGACATGTAACACTTACTAGCTGTGTGACTCTGGGCAAGTCACTTAACCCCATTGCCTAGCCCAAAACAAAAAACCAAAAGACCGCTCTAGGAGAAGTGGTACTATCACCTCCTTATTTTGGAAACTAGGATAGAGAATGTACTAGACTGTGATTTCATAAGTATAGGGAGCCCTCAGGAGGGGCTTCTATCAATGCTGGTCAGCACCTTCTCTGATCACAGAGAGTGGCCTTGCATGGACAGATTAAGGGATTTGCCCAGAACCACTCAGCCAGTATGTGTTAAAGGCTGAACTTAAATCCATCTCCAAAGCTAACTTTCTGTCCACTGTTCCACGCTGTCTCTCACCTTATATCTCTTAACTCTCTTGGCATCTTCCCAGGATGGCATTAGTTTTTTTGATGGTCACATCCCACCGCTGACTTATACTGAGTTCACTAAAAACATCCGAATTGTTTTTTCTCAAACTTCCATCGAACCATAACTCCCTCATCCTGTGCTTGTGAAGTTGAATTTTTTTTTTAAGACTTTACATTTGTCTGTATGGATTTTCATCTTATTAGGCCTAGCTCCACATTCTTGCATGTCAAGATCTTTTTGGATCCTGACTCTGTCATACAGTATGTTAACTATTATCTAGTTCCCAGTTCTGTGTTATCTACAGACTTGATGAGCCATGCTATCAATTCCTGTATCCAAGCATTTGGTTAAAACTGCTAAATAGAGGGCAGCTAGGTGGCGCAGTTGATAGAGCACCGGCCCTGGGGTCAGGAATACCCGAGTTCAAATTCGGCCTCAGACATATGATACTTCCTAGCTGTGTGACTCTGGGCAAGTCACTTAACCCCAATTGCCTCACTAAAAAAAAACAGCAAAAAACAAACAAAAACTGCTAAATAGTCCAGAACAGAACATAGATCCTTGGACCACTCAGGCCATTTCACTGGAGACCTTCTGTTTATTGACATTGAACCCCTAATGACTACTCTTTGAGTCTGGTCTTTAACCTAGTTTTAAATCTATCTAACTATATGATATAGTAGCCAGATGGCACAATGGATAGAGTGCTGGGCCCAGGGTCAGGAAGATGCCTCTTCCTGAATTCAAATCTGGCCTCAGACACGTACTAGTTGTATGACCCTGAACAAGTCACTTCACCCGGGTTGCCTCAGTTTCTTTGCCTGTCAGATGAGCTGGAGAATGAAATGGCAAATCACTCCAGTATCTTTGCCAAGAAAACTCCAAATGGTGTCACGAGGAGTTGGACATTGCTGAACAACAAGAAATGGTAGTGTAGTCCGTGGCTTCCCATGTTTTCCACAAGAATAGAATAAGATACTTTATCAGATACTTTGGTAAGAGCCAAGTAAACTATACCTACAATTTAAGCTATTAATAACCCTTTCAGAAAAGAAAATAAAGTTAGTCTGGCATGACGTGTCCTTGGTGAAACTAAACTGGCTCTTTTTAATCCCTGCTTCCTTTTCTGGATGGTGTCTGCCTGTCCCTTCCCTGTTGTATTTTAGAATTTCTGCAAGAATTGAAGTCAAGCTTAGTAGTTTCCAATTTACAGGTTTTATTTTCTTCCTTGATGAAAAGTGTCTTGTTGAACTTGTTGGGGGATGTTATAGAGGAGAATCCTATTAAAGTATGAGCTGAGCTGGATTTGTTCTGAGGTCCTTGCCAACTCTGAGATTCTTGATTTTGAATAGTCCAGTTTGTCTGGAAGGGAATGAATGAGATAAGTTTGGAAAGGCAGAATGACCCAAGATTGGAGAGGGTCAAGCTTGTCAGGCAAAGTAGTTTGAACCTCACTTGGGAGTCTGTAAGGAGCCACTGAAGATCTTTGAGTCAAGTGACATGAGCAGATCTATGATGCAGATTATTCCAAAAGTGTGGTGAAGGATAGCTTAGAGGCAGGGAAAGAAGGGAGTCAGAAATTCAATTCAATTCTACTGGCATTTACTGAGTACCTCCTGAGTACATGCCCATGTTGCTAGGTGCTGAGATACAAAGACATGAATGATCCAGTGCCCGCCTTCAGGGATCTTACAGTTGGGGGAGAGGGGTAGATAAGGAAATACAAAATATATACAAAGTGATAATGGGCAGCATGAAAATTTTCCTGGAGGTGGCGGTGCTTAAGCCAAGCCCTGCAGGAAGATAGAGGTGCCAAGGTGCAGAGGAGACAAGGCAGAGCCTGCCAGCTGTGGACCGTATGGAAGGAGGAGGCAGAATTTCCTTCCTGTGGAGCATCAAGTAGGCCAGTATGGCCCGAGGATAAAGTGGGTGAGGGGGAATAATGTAAAATATTATAATATGGACATTTGAAGGGAGAGATTAGAGCCAGATGGGAGAGGGCTTTAAATGCCAAACAGAAGAGTTAGTATTTTATCCCAGAAGCAGTAGGGAGTGACCACGATTCTTCAGCTTGGGCAGTTTCAGTGGATCCCTGTTGATTCTGAAACAATATGGTATAGTGGATAAAGATCGAGATTCGGAGATAGGCAGACCTGGGTTCAAATCTAGCCTCAGTTACTAGCTGTATGGCTTTGGGCAAATCATTACCCTCTATGGGTCAATGTCCAATGCTTTAGGAATATGAAGCTGGTAGCTGGGGAGGATGGATGGTAGGGGAGGAGATTGGAGACAAGGTGGCCAATTAGGAGGCCATTGCAATAGTTCAATAGAAGGTCATTGAAGGACTTGCTAGGGTGGTGGAAGTGTGAGCAGGGAGAAAGAAACAATATTAATAATCATAGCTCACAGTAATATAGGGCCTACTGTGTGCAAGGCACTGTGCTAAGGACTTTTCAATTATTATCTCATTGTATCCTCACAACAATCCTCACAGGTAGGTGCAGTTATTATCCCCATTTTACAGTTGAGGAAATGGAGGCTGAAAGAGATAACATGATTTGCCCAGGGTCACACAGCTAGGAAGTGTTTGAGGCTAGATTTGAACTCAGGTCTTCCTGGCTGCAGGCCTGGCACTGTATTCCCTACATCAGCTAGCTGCCTCATGTTGCAATCAACAGGAACTGGGTTAAATGTAACCCCAAAGAAATTTATATTAGATTACGGTTACTTTGTATCTACCCTCTATGTGTGTGTCTCTGGTATATATCTCTTTATGCACATGTTTTCTCCTTAAATGATGTTAGAATGTAGGGGTGATTTTCACTTTTTTTTTTTATTCCCTGTACTTAGCACAGTACTGGCACAGACTTGTTGATTGAATAAGTGTGCTATAGTGGAAAAGGCCCTCCACTCACAGTGAAGAATGCCCGGGCTCAGATCCTCGCCCTGTCACTTACCATCCTTCTATCCTGGGGCAATAATAATTGACAGATTTCACCTTAGTGTTTGCAGAGTGTCGTTGGGACACCTGCCTCGTGAGGTGAGTGGTGGATTATTATCGTGCCTCTTTTACAGATGAGGAAATTGAGGTGCTGACAGGCTTCATGACTTGCCTGTGATGACCCAGCTGGTAGAAAGTCACATGACCTTAGTTTCTTCCAGTGTCGAATTCAGTTAATTTGCATCACCTACCTCACAGGGTTATTGTGAACGAGGGCTTGATAGACCTTACTTTGTTGTTGTTCAGTTGTTTCAGTCATGTCTGACCCTTTGTGACCCCATTTGGGGTTTTCTTGGCAAAGATATTGGAGTGGTTTGCCATTTCCTTCCCCAGCATATTTGACAGATGAGGAAACTGAGGCAAACAGAGTGAAGTGACTTTCCCAGGGTCACACAGCTAGTAAGTGTCTGAGGGCAGATTTGAACTCGGGTCTTCCTGACTCCAGACCTGTCCTCTATCCACTGCACCACCTGCGTGCTCTTGGCAGACTTTAAAATGCTGTAGACATATGAGCTCTTGTTATCATTAAGGAAGATTGTTCTGGCAGCGGCAGAAAGGTCTTTCTGGGGAGAATGAGAGTGCTAAGAGCTGCTTGGTTATTGTAGTTGTCCAAGTGGGCCTGGGCTGGGGCAGCGTCAGTGAGACCAGAAAAGGGAGGAGGAAGATTCCAAGTGTGTGACAGAGATGGTATCAACAGAGCTTGGGATCTGATTGTATATGCGAGGTAAGTGAAAGGAAGGGTCAGAAACAGCCCCCAGATTATGGACTTGAAACTCAGTAAATACCCAATCTAGTGCCCCAGAGAAATAGTGACATCCAAGAAAATGGGTGGGAGGGAAGATAGTAAGCTAAATTTTGGACACAGTGAGTTTGGGGTGCCGGCTAGAGAAGCAGGTGGGAATGTCTTTAAGGCAGCTGGCGAGGCGTATCTGGAGCTCAGAGGGAAGGTCAGAGCTAGAGTTGCAGGTTTTGAGGTCATCTGCGTAGGGGAAGTAGTTGAAATCTTGGAGGTGAAAGAGATTGTCAAAGGAGAAAAGAAGAAAGCCCAGGACAGATCCTTGGGGGTAGCCACATTAAGAGGTTTTGTAAAGTAAAGAGAGGGCAAAAAGTTGTTAAAGAGGCAGGAGAACCTAGACGGTATAGAGTTGTCCCAGCCCCACTGGGCCTCAGTTTCCCCATCTGTAAAATAAAGGAGATTGGGCTAGATGGCTTTTGAAGTCTTCCAGCTCTAAAGCTGGGACCCTGTGATCTCTGGAGCAGCCATGGCTCTGTAACCTGGGGTCCTTGGTAGATTTCAGGGGGTTGGAAAATTTGGATGGGAAAAAACTCGACATTTCCATTTTTACTATTTCCCCCGACTGGTTTAATTTCCTTCAATGATTTAAATACATTGTTCTGAGAAGGGCTTGATAGGTTTCACCAGACTTCCAGAAGGGATCATGGTACAAAATGGTTAAGACTCTTGGTGTAAAGGTCAAAAACACTACCTAGAGAAGTCAAAGAGGAAAGGGACTGAAAAGAGTCCATTGGACTTGGTAGATCCAAAGTTCACTGGTGACTGTGGAGAGGGCTGTACAAGAGCGTGATGGGAGTCAACGCTGGGTTGCACCGGGGTTCACTTCACGAAATATGAGGTGCCTGTTGTGCTAGGCTGTGAGCGAGGCCCTGGGGAAAGAAAGACGAAAACAATGTCCCTGCCCTCACAAAGTCTACTCTGTGTGTGTGTGTGTGTGTGTGTGTGTGTGTGTGTGTGTGTGTGTGTGTGTGTGTGTGTGTGTGAATACAGCTTATACACTGATAATTCTAGAGGGAGAGAGCCCTGGCAGATTCATGAAAGTGTGTAGGGAGAGATAGTAAAGACTTGGAGGAACTCAGCTTAGGTGTATTCCAAAGTATACTTTTTATTTCTCAAAATATATTTGTGGCTTAAGATATATTTTAAAAAATCAGTGAGAACAAGAAATTTCACAGACATAGTCAAACAAGGTTTTAAAAGGCTAAAGATAGGGGCAGCTAGGTGGCACAGTGGATAGAGCACAGGCCCTGAAGTTAGGGGGACCTGAGTTCAAATGCGGCCTCAGACCAAACATTGACACTGACTAGCTGTGTGACCCTGGGCAAGTCACTTAACCCCAATTGCCTAAAAACAAAACAAAGCTAAAGATAAATTTCAGTTATACATGGAAAATAATGTAGCAAGCTGATTTCTATAGTGAAAAATGATAACTTAAAATTTTACTTTCCAAAATAGGAAAATTCGTGTTTCAATCTGAAATTCTACAAAATGAGAATTGTTTTATATGTAGTTGTTCATTAATCTTGAGAAATGATGTCTAAGCTAGTTGTCTGTCTCCTAGTTGGTGTTCCATGGAGGCAAGTCCAGGGCTACTTGATCTCCCTCTATGGGTGATTATAATAATTATTATTATTTAAAATTTTCATTCTTGTTGGAATGAAAGACTTCTGTAGGTGACTTTGAAGCAGTGGGGAGACATGCCCTCCATTCTCTGTCCTTTTCTAGATGACGTTGTACCTCACCTTCCCGGTGGCCATGTTCTGGGTGTCCAACCAGGCTGAATATTTTGAGGAATATGTCATCCGGCGCAAGGTAGACCAGGGGCTCAGGAAGGAGGGGTCTGATGTGCTCCTGGCAACAGAGTGGGGACCCACTGGGGGAAGAACATGCCCCGCTCTCTGCATTCTGTGGTTTCAGAAGCCAGGCTTGCTCTGCCTCCCTGCATGGCAGGTGTACCTAGTGGGGCATTGAGGTACCCTTGGACTAGGAGTCTGGACTTACCGTGTGGCCTTCACACTCTCACTATTTTCTGCAATGAGAGGGATGGACTCCATGGTCTCTGAGGTCCCTTCTAGCTCTGATGTTCAGTGCCAATCACACTTGGCACCATGTTCATCTAAGTAGCAGTAAGGACTGGAGGCAAGATGTCCTGTATAACCCAGAGCTCCCCCTGGGAGGGTTGGGGGTCTTGAGAGGGCTCCTTTGCCTAGAAGGAGACACTTCTTCCTTTCTCTCCTGGCCCTGCTGGGGTAGGGGTGGGGGATACCATGTCTGTTCCTGGTCCTGTCCCTCTTCTCCAGCAACTTCTTCTCTTTCTGCAGCAGGAAATCTTCCCTCCGGAGCGAGAAGACCAGGTGAAGCCTTGATCTTCCCCATCATATGTGGGGGGAAGAATGGTTGGGTTGGAATGGCAGTGGGAAATATTTCTAGGGTGTGTCTCTGCCCTCACTCAGGCTAGGTGAAAGCCTAGTTTGAAGTAAGAACTCCTGGGCTCAAATTCCTACTGTGGGCTCAGGAAAAGCTGGAGTACCCTCAGGAAGGCACAGGTGAGAACCAGGTTCTGGGTGCAGGAGGCCATGGCCTAGGAAGGAGCGCCTAGCTCAGGGGTGAAGCCAGAGGTTGGAGGGATAGGCTGGGTGTTCCACTCTTCTCTCATGTCTGCCTCATTCTTCCCCCCCCCAAAAAAAAATATTCCAGATTGGAGTGGGACTGGGTTCCAGGGATTGTGGGCCAGGGCCATAAATCTGAATTCTCTTGTGACATTCTACCTCAACCTGTGTTAGCGGCGGGAGCTGGAAGACTTCAAGGAGCGAATGCGGAAGCAGCGTGAAGAGAGACTCCGCCGGACTTCCCAGCAGTGACCTGGGCTGTATCTGGAAATCAGTGCACCCCGTCTCTCCCCCAAAACCTGGCTGCTGCACAGCAGGGCTACAGGATTGGGGCTCCTGCCGTCCCCACCTTCTGCTGAGGCACTCTGGAGGCCACCATCCCCTGCTCAGTCCCTGGCTCCCCCATGGCCCTGCAGACGTTTATGGCCTCGAGATCTCCCCTGCCCTGGACCGGCTGGTCAGATGCATTGCCCAAACACACATCAACCCTGTGCCCTTCCCCCACTTTGGTCCCTGGCTTTCAGGGCTCTACCTAGGAACCATTCAGGGATCAGTGTCTGAGTCCAAAGAGAGCAGAGAGAAAACCTTGTATTTTTCTATCCTGATTCTTTAAGCCAATGACAATAACAACTCAGTCTGACCCCTACTCAGTTTATGTGAAAGCCTTTTATTTGGTGATGTGGGACTGATAAGAGCATGGAAGCGGGGCCTAGCCCTCAGGGGCCAGTGGTTTGGGGGTGGGGGCTGCTGTTCCTTCGGAAGCTGAGGGCAGAGGGGTCTTGAGGAACCAATAGGGGATGGTGGCTGCGATTCCCAGTTCCTTGCTCCACACCATCCTGTAGGGACAGGGAGAAGGACCAGTTTAAGGTACTCTTCCGGGAAGCAGAAAGGTGGCAGATCTGGCAGGGGCCATAGAGAGCCTAGTCCCTTCATTTTACACATTGGGAAACTGAGGCCTACACAGAGATGAGGACTTTCCCAAGGTTACATATTCAGGTCATGACTGAGCTCTTTCTGCTCTGCCATCCTGCCTCCCAGGCCCACTTCCCTCCTGGTCTAGCCTCAGTAAAGGCAGAAACAGGCAGGAACCTCCTTCCCTAGAAACAGGATTTTCCTATTCTCTCTACATGATTAAGAAGGCAGTGAAGCCTCTTCCTTACCCTCTGAGTCTTCTGTACCCAAGAGAAGCCACCAGGCTCTGTGGCTTCATGGGAGGGAGGGATAAAGGCTGTGGGGACTGAAGTAGAAGCTAATGAATGGGATCTTGGGAAATGTTTTGGTTCTTGGGGTCTCTGGGATACAAGGTCCAGGATGTCTGGTTTCTGTTTCCAGAGAGTCTCACCCTCCCCTTGTGTGGGACTGGGATGCCCTGGGTTAATTAAGAGCAGGGAGACCAGAGATTAGCAAGAGGTGGAGGAGAAGTGGAACACTCCCTCTCCAAACCAAAACAAAACCCTTTCCCATTCTTTCTTCCCAGAGTTCGGGGCTGAACTGCTGAGTATGTTTAGAACCCAGGCAGTTTGCTTCTCAGTTTTCTCCCTGCCAGTACAAGAACCTGCTTTCCCCTCCCAGTCTCACTGCCAGGGTAGCCCCATACCTTAGGCGCCACAGACTGGAAGCCAGGCAGGTAGTTGATGCTGACACGTTGGTCGTCCATGCGGCGTGCCTGGGTGTCGGCCACCATGTCCATCAGGTTGTCCATCTCCGGAGGAGCAATGGGGTTAGGGCTGGGGCTGCGGCTGCTCTCTGGGGGAAGAGGATGAAAGGGGTTCAGGCCTGAGCGCTCTGCAAGCTGTGGGGACCAGTTGCGACAGCTTCAGCTGTGGAGGGGGTCTGGGGTCGGGCTGGGGAAGGAGACCAAGAGCCTACGGAGGTGACTGGAGCACCCCATTCCTGAAGGAGGCAAACCTGGGGCTGTGGGGAGACACACACGAACCTTAATCCGATTAGAAGAGGGCTCCCTGGGCACACAGGTACACAGATACACACTCGTAGGCATGAACACATGTACATTTGCACTCATCCAAGTTCATTCACCCTTCTGGACACACTCACTGTTGGGAGGCCCCTGGCCTGGTTCAGTCTGCAGGGGGCAGCGCTGCTCCTCCATCCGAGCACCCTGGACATGGCTTAGCAGGTTGAAGAATCCATCCTCCTCTGGGGTCCCTGCCTGAGGCATCGAGGACTAGGGTTAGCCCTGGCACTATCATCCTTCAATCCTGAGGGCCTTCTCTGCTAGGGATCCTAGGTCTAGTACCAGAAGGGATCTTAGAAGCCATTGGGTTCAACCCCCTCATTTTTCAGATGAAAATTCATTTCAGAGAGGTTAAGTGACATCCAAGATAACAGCAGTGTCTGATGGGGTTCGACCCTAGGTCTTCCTGATTCTTCCAGGCTGTATTTATTTATTCCACCTCCCCTGCCAAATCTCTTGATCTTTGACATTACCTGAGATCAAATGGGGAAATGGAGCTGAGAGCTCTTGTTGTGGGCCCCCCTTCCCACTAGACCAGAGGAGCCTCTAGTACTTCTCCCACTGCCTCCTTTGCTTACTTTCCCTGCTGCCCTCCACCCCAAATAAGGAGTATCTCAGGCCACCTCTGTCACACCCACCATGCTCCCCAGGTCTTGGCCCAGCCTCCAGCCCCTTTCTCTTTGTTCCAGGTTCTGGGATCTAGCTCTTCATTCCTTTTCCAAGTCTAGGTTTCTAGTTCTCTCCCAGGTCTGTGAGGGAGGGCAGGGATACCTTTTTGCCTCCACCTCCATAAATGAGAAAGAAAATGCTTTTTTTCTCCTTTACCCTAGTGATGGTTGTGGGTGACCCTCTGCCATCCTGCCCATCTTACCATGCTCTGAAGCTGCACTGCCTGCTCTCTGGCATGAGAATCCAGTGTGAATGATATAAATGGCTTACCATCTTGTACTGTCCCCACTCCTACCTCTGCCCCTAGGGACCCACAAATCAGGATAGTTCTGGCTATAGCCATGTGGCTGCAGCTGGCTCTGGGGAGAGGCATGTCAGTTCCAACTTCAGTGGCCTAGATCAGAGGCTGAAGGAGGTGTTTGGGAACAAATTACTCCCTTGGGAGAGCCAAACTCTACCCTCTCCCCTAGCTCCTGGATTGCACCCTGCCCCCCATGACTTTGTGGCCCTTTCACCTTAACTGGGGCCTTACACCCAGGTATCTCTTTCCATCCTCCTCCCTCCCCCTCAAACTGGAAACTAGGTCATTGGCCTCCTTTTTGGCTCTAAGCCTTCAGAGACACTGGCCTTGCTAATGAGATACCTGCTAATTAGAGTCGTGTTGGTACAATCGGGAGATCTGAGACCTGGCAGGACTTGGAGATCACAAGGGAGCAACCAGGTGGGGTGGGAAAGTGGGGGAGCTGTGCTGGTGTCTTCACCTCCTAGGCTATGAATCCCCCATGCCCTCCTGACCAGGATGGGGGCCCCTGTTTACCTCACTGGGAGGACTTGAATCTGCTTCTTTCTCCTCTTTTCCCTCCAGCTCAGCCATCAGACTGGATCCCTAGGTGATCCCTTACTAGACCCCTTGCTCTGTACTGTGTACCCCCTTCTGCTGAGTTCTTCTGCCCCTAGACCCACTGCAGATGTCTGATTCCAGCTCCCACTGTTGCTTTTGGCATCTGGAGTAGGACTTTTAAAGGGTGGGGGAAACACCCACGATCCTCCAGCAAGCCCCAAATCCTAGACTCCATCTGGGAGTCCCCCCCTCTCCATCTGCTCCCACCCAGACTAAGCCCCATAAAGATCATCCAGATAATTGTTTTCGTGGAACTACACTGGGTGCTGGGTGGGGGTGGGGTGCCCAGGCCTCCTCCTTCTCCCCCAACTTCATCTCGCTCCCAGCATTCTGGCCCTCCCTCCCACAATCCGTGATTTCCACATTCTTGACCTGTAGCCCTGCTCTGAAACTCACCTGTGCCACTCACACCCCAGAGTCATAGGATCCATGCCCTTCCCCCTACCCCAACAGCTCTCATCTGGGTCAGCAGGGTCTGGGAGCAGGCATACTGAAGGTTCAAGGTAGGGTCTCCCAGACAACTGGGGGGCAGGGCCGCATAGGGAGAGGCCAAGCGGGAGAGAGCATGGAGAAGGCAGAGACCCCGGAGCCCACAGCCTCGTGGGCGGTACTTATAGCCTCCCTGTAGCGAAGACGTGCTAGAGATGGTGATCCTCACTTCACCAGAGGCCTCCCTAGCCCCAGCCCTCCTAACTGGTACCTGGGAATGCATTCTTTCTGGATAGCTAGGGATCAGGCCTTTCCCACAAAGAGCCCTTTTGTTGTGTGAGGACCTTTGGGAGTCAGGGCATCTTCCCTTGCTTCATGGCTCCCCACTCTTACCACCCCAAACAATGTCTCCTCTCTCTTCTGTCCACCTGTCCAAAGATGTGGATGGACCTGTCTGGTCAGACTGGTATTGGTTGGCTCAGTCAGTCTCCTTGGTTATGTTTCCTCAGGGAATGGGATTATTCTCCTCCCTGGAGGGGTCCTTACCTCCTTATATACCCACAAGGGCCTTATTACCAGCTCTGCATAGCCTTTGGGTCCAGGCTTTGGGGTGGTTACCACAGCAACACTCTCCATCGGGGGCCAGACCTAGCTAGGGGAGGAGCAGGAGCTGGAGGTCCTATTCTTCCCAAGATCCCCACCCCTCACTTCCCCAAACTCTGCCAGTCCCCCAAGGTTTTCCAGTTCCTCAAAGTGATGTCTTCAAAAGCTCATTCCCTGAATTCCCCCATTCAAGAATTAGAGTGGGTTGGGGAGGGAGGTCCTGGATCAGATCCCTCCATATCAGAAGAGGTTCATGAATGTTGTCTTAGAGTGTTGGAAGAGATGTTAGGGGAGAGGAGTATACATTGGCTGCATCATTTTTTGACACAGTTTCCTGGGGATGGAGAAACATGATACATAGTTATAGAACCCCCTTCCCCCAAGTACACACACACACACATAACACACAGAGGTGACAAATCCCTCTATCTACCCCCATTCTGGTGACGGTAGTTGCCTGGAGTTCTGATCATACTGATCCCTCCTCAGGATAAAGGAGGTTCTGGGGACCCCACTGTTACGTGTCAGTTAGAACATGTGACTGTATTTCTATGTATATCATAAGCTAGGAGGGATTGAGGAAGGTCAAAAGTAGGAGGGAACTGAGTATCTAGTTCAATCCCCTCATTTTATGGAGGAGGAAACAGCCCCAGAGAGTGGCAAAGGGCTTATCTGTGTGTATAATACATGTATCCCTGTGTCCTTTGCCTAGGTAAGCATTCACTAGTGAATGTAGAACTGTGCCACTGTGTCTGTCCTTGAACCAGTCTGGGCTCAAGAGGCAGTAGAATTGATGAAGCATGCTATCTACTTCCTAACAGAGAAAAGATCAACTCAGAGGGCAGAATGAGACTTTTTTTTTATATGACAAATACAGGAATTGGTTTTGCTTGACTGCATGTTTGTTACAAGGGTTTTGTTTTGTTTTCTTTTTCCCAAAGGGAAAGGGGTGGTGGTGGAAGAAGAAATGAGTTTGTTAATCGAAAAAAATTTTTTAAAGGAGGCAGGGCAGTGTAATGGTTATAGCAAAAAAGCTGGAGCCAGGAAGAGCTAGGTTTGCCTTCCACCTGTCACACGGACAGGCTGTATGATCTTGGGCAAGTCACTTAATGTCTTTAAACCAATAGGGTCGGAGGTGTTTGAGTACCGGCAATATGGGGTTTGCATGTGTGTTTGTGTGGGGGCATTGGGGCACGGTAATTGTACTGGTAGAGTGCAGAGAGAGCTGGTGGCAGTCAGGAAGATAGAGACCCTAGTCCTGCTCCAGCCGAATACTGGCTGTGTAATTCTGGGCAAATCCTTTACCCTCTCATCTCACTATTTCACTCATTTTACAACTCTCTGACTATATTAATAACGAACTTTTAAGTATCACTCTTAAGGTTTCCACGTGGCAGATCTCTCTATACTACAGAAATCAGCAACGAAAGGACGGAGGAAAGAAGGGAGGGAGGGAGGAAGGAAGAACAGACTTAACTAACCCAGGTTGATACTCACCAGCTGTGTTATGTGACCCAAGGGGAAGTCACTGATCTTTTCTGAGCCAGTAGCGATAATAGCGGTTGCAAACTTTCATGCCCTATATAAATGAATATTATTAGGTGAATTTGTAACTGTCTCTGTATCTTTGTGAGCCTCCGAGTACTCGAGTGCCTTCTTGCAATTGCTAACGCTTACATAGCGCTTTAACGTGTGCAAAGTGCGTTTCAAATATCTCGTAACACCGGGAGGTAGGTGCTATTGTTATCCCCATATTACCGATGGGAAAACTATTATCAGGAGTGTTCGCTCTAAAGAGAACGAGCGCTCCGGGCGCCACGGAGCACTTTCTCGTCTTCCCACCTTCCTTCTCACTTTCCCACCTTCCCGAAACAGACTCCCAGAGAAGAAATGGACTCGCAGTGGGGAGCTGGGGAGCTGGGTCAGGTGGTTGGGGCGTGGCCAGGTGAGGGAAGAGGCCAGGCCAGGTGGAAAGGGGCGTGGCCTCCTGCGATGACGCTACCAGAGGCTCCCGCCCCTTCTTGGGCAGACCCGGAAGCGGTGGCCCCAGGGGGAAGATGGCGCCCTCAGGGCTGAAGGCGGTGGTGGGAGAGAGTGAGTACTGGCCTTTATTCCAGTGGGGAGTGGGGCTGAGAGCCTTGTCACCTGAGTCCTTGGGAAGGAAGGAGGGAGGGTGGCAGGGAGCCTGGACACCTGACTCCCTGGAGGAGTGTCTGGAAACCTGGGACAGGAGGTGGGTGGCCACCTGTACCCCTGGATCCCCCAGGAGGGAGGGGGGCTAGGAGCTTAGATGCCTGGGTCCGTTAGGGGACGCGGCTCGGAGTCTGGATGCTTGGATCCTTAGGGGAGGGGGCTTCAGAAAAGCCACCTGGGTCCTGGGGGTGGGGGTGGGGAGGCTGGGTCCCCTGGGAGGTGGATGGGAGGCTTGTAAGTAACAGGCACTCAATAAATGATGATTGAATGAATGAGGGGAATGAGAGACTGTACCCAGGGTCCCTGCCCAGCGGGGGGCTGGGAGTCAGATGCCTGGACCCTTTGGGTAGGGTGAGGAATCTAGACACTTGAATGAGTGTTAGGGACGCTTATGGGGGGAGGCTGGACTTCTGGGTTCCTGGATCCCCAGTGGGGAGAATTTCAGGGGACTAGAAGTTTAGACAGTTGAAGCCCAGAAGAGGCCAGAACTGGAGGTCTATACCTTGGTGATCCCCTGCACCTAACCCCCTAGTCTCTTATTTAATGTCCTGTTAGTTATAAGTGCTTTGGGATCTTCACTGGAGGGAGTGGTACCCGGAAGCAGAAACTGGGCCCCACCCCTGGTCAGCAGGAGGGGGAATGGGCAGTTCTGTCCTGTGTTTTCCCACCCTTGGCCTGGTTGCTTTGGTTTCAGCTGTTTCCTTTAGTAGTGATAATGTGGTGGTGGTGGTGATAAGGGGCTAGGCCTCCCTCCTAGAGCGCTCTTTGACCCTGGTCTGGCCCTTGATTCGGCCGCTTCCTCTTCCCAGGTTCTTGGAGGGAAGTGACCACTTCTTGGTGGGGTTTATGTATTGTCCAATGCATTCTTTGACCATTTTGCACAGATAGGGAAACTGAGGCCCAGGGAGGGGTAGGGTCATGCTCAAAGTCACACTTTGAATTCAGAGGCACAGCTGAAATGAAAATGTGGGTCTTTTGACTCCCAGCCCTGTTACTTTTTTCCACATGGGTCTGGGGAACTGGGGTGGGAGACTGTAATGTGGAGGGACTCAATCCTAGCCCTTGTTCAGCCCTGAGTGGACTCAGGCTTCTGGCCAGAAGCATAGCTCACTTTGCCTGAGGCAAAGTATGGGGGAAAGGCTTAGGATGGCAGAGACACTGGTGTCAAGATATTTGCTTAGCCCAGGTGTCTGAGAAGAAGAGCTGTCCCCCGAGCCAGCCTTTCCTTCCTCTCCCCTTTCAGAGATCCTGAGTGGGGTTATTCGAAGTGTCAAGAAGAATGGAGAGTGGAAGGTAGGACTCTGGGAGCCAGGATATCTGGAGTCCCTGGAGGCCCTTTAAGGTCTCACAGCTTTTTCTGTAGGTCAGCCAGGCGTGACATCTTGGACAGAACCTTCAGAGGGGGCTTGCAAAGAGCCAAAGGGGAGAATGGCATGGTCTTTGTGCCTCTTGAGAGGAGAGCAGAAGGCCAGTGTTCCTAAAGTTGGGGTTAGGCTGTGGGAAGTTAGTGGCTTCATGGTTGCCGCAGCAGTCATAATTGGACGTCTTGGTACTTTGGGCAAACTCATTTGGGGGTAGCCCCCAGAATGGAACAACCTGGGAAAAGGGGTGACCTGCCCTCTGCTTCCCTAACTTTCACTGACCTGTTGCCTTGCCACCTTCCCTTCTCTGCTCCACTTTTCCCCTGCTGCCCTTTCTGGAGGGTGTAGAGAGCAGAGGATCCTGAGGCTTGGGGTGGCAGTCACTATGGTGGGGAGGGGGGAGCTGTGCCCCTCCAGTGGCACTATCCTGGTTGCAGCTCTGTGCCTTAGGTTCTTGTCATGGACCGCCCCAGCATGCGGATCATGTCTTCCTGCTGTAAGATGTCAGACATTCTAGCCGAGGGCATCACCAGTGAGTATGAGGCTCCCCTGGGCAGTCCAGGGCATGGCTCACAGATAATTGGGTATTCTGTCCCCGGGCCCCAGGGAGTGACTCTCCCCTAGATCAGCAGTGGATTGGGACCTTGGCTCCCCCCTCCTCTCTTGCTTTTGCCGGGGGCTAAGGGGAGGCAGGGGGAATTGGCCTCTTCTCCCTGGTGGCCTCCCCATGATCTGCCATGTTGTGTTGTTCCATCTCCTATGACGTCGCTTGGTGTGGTGCCGTGGATGGATGCCCAGTTGTGGAGGACATTAACAAGCGCAGGGAACCCATCCCCAGCTTGGAAGCCATTTACCTGTTGAGCCCATGTGAGAAGGTAAAGGCCACTGAGCGGGAAAGTCCATGGGCTGAGGGCTTTCTCTGTGGCCTCGGGGACTGGGGCCAGAGGGAGTGACTCTCCCATTTCTCCCAGTCTGTCCAGGCTCTGATCAATGACTTCCGGGGAACCCCTACCTTTACCTACAAAGCTGCCCACATCTTCTTCACAGACAGTGAGTGACAGGGACATGGGCTTTGGGGGAACGAGTTTAGGGGCTGGACCAGGATCCCTGCTCTGACTCTCCTCGTCCTGTTTCCTCCACACCCAGCCTGTCCTGAGCCCCTTTTCCTCGAACTGGGCCGATCAAGGCTGGCCAAGGCTGTGAAGACGCTGAAGGAGATTCACTTGGCTTTCCTTCCCTACGAGTCCCAGGTGGGGCTCTGCCCTGGGAAACTGGTGGTGAGGGGTCTGCAGGATGGAGCGGGGAAGGACAAGGCCAGAAGCCCTGCACAAGAAGGAGGGGCAGGGGGAAGCTGGAAGGATGCCCTGGGTAATGAAGATCAGGGCCGGGGTTACCCAGCAGTCAGAGGTGTCCTCCAGGCTCTACACCTTTACCCCTTGACCTCCTAGGTGTTTTCCTTGGATGCAGCCCATAGCACTTATAACTTGTACTGCCCCTTCCGGGTCAATGCAAGGATTCGGCAGCTGGAGGTTTTGGCCCAGCAGATCGCTACGCTCTGTGCCACCCTGCACGAGTACCCTGCTATTCGCTACCGAAGGTGCGGCTTCTCATCCTCCTTCCTCCCTTTCCTGATCTCTGACCCTGCCATTCTTCCCCCCACCCCTGTGGGCTGTAAGGCCTCTCCTGATCCCTCTTGTCCCCCCAGTTCCTCCTTCATTTCCTGCCTCCCTCCCCACTCTCCTGGGATCATCTTCTGGCCCCTACCGTTGTGTCACACTGGAGTCCTTCCCCTTCTGCCCCCACTCGCTGGTCCTGGCTCTGATCCCTTGGCCCCATCTTCCTCAATCAGACCCAACATACTTGTAGCGCAAACCACAGGCTTTGGGACAGTCCTCCTCCTCTCATGGCCCAGCTCTGGAGTGATGAAGCAGGTTGGGGGCATCCACTTCCTCAGCTTGGATCCCTTTTTCCTCTCCTCCATCTTCCCTAGGTGTGTCTCCAACATTTTCTTTTTTTTTAAGGTATTTATTTCTACAAACATTTATTTATTATCTTCCACCCCAATTGACCAATTATAAAAAAGAAAACCCTCGTACTTAACGTGCATAGTCTAGCAAAACAAGTTCCCACATTGGCCACATCCAGAAAGGTGTGTCTCGTTCTGCACCTTACGTCCATTTCCTCCCTGGCAGTAAGTGATTGGTGTGTTTTATCTTTAGTCCTCAGGACTCGTGGTTGGGCATTGCATTGGCCAGAGTTCTCAAGTCTTTCAAACTTGTATTTCTTTGTGATGTTGCTGTCACTGTATAAATTTTTCTCCTGGTTCTGCACCTTTCACTCTGTATCAGTTCATAGATTTCTTCCCAGTTTGCTCAGAAGCCATCCATGTGGTCATTTCTTTTCACAGGGGGTCTGAGGACACTGCCCAGCTTGCCCATGCTGTCCTTGCCAAGCTCAATGCCTTCAAAGCAGACAATCCCAGCCTGGGGGAGGTGAGAGCCAACCCGAGCAGGGGAACTGGGGTGGGGGAGGTGGGTAGGGCTTTTCTTGGGCTCACCCCTTTTCTCCCACTGTGTCTGTCCCCAGGGCCCTGAGAAGATGCGGTCTCAGCTACTGATTGTGGACCGGGGCTCCGATCCTGTGTCCCCTTTGCTGCATGAGCTCACTTTCCAGGCCATGGCCTATGACCTTCTGGACATCCAGCAGGACACCTACAGGTGCTAATGTGGGAATGGCGGCAGCAGCCTCTGGGGGAGGGATGCAGGGGGAGGACCAGGCCTTGTCCCCCGGACCATTCCATGTTCAGGAGCATCATGTCCTGTCCTTCCAGGTATGAGACGACGGGTCTGAGTGAGACCCGGGAGAAGTCTGTGCTTCTGGATGAGGATGATGAGCTGTGGGTGGAACTTAGGCATATGCACATTGCAGATGTGTCCAGGTAGGTCCCCTTAGGGTATGAGAGGTCCTGGGGTCAAATCCAGGCTGATCTACCTTCTCTTTGGAAGGTAGCATGAGATAGTGAAAAGACCACTGGATTTGAGGTCAAGTACCTGCATTCACACTCTGGCTCCATCAGCTTATTACATGTGACCACATGTGACCTTAGGCAAACTCTACAGGCCTCAGTTTCCCCATCTGTAAAATGAGGGGTTTGGACTAGATGACTCTTAAGGTCCCTTCCAGCTTTAAACCTATGAACCTATTACCTTTGCACTCACAATTCCCAATCCCCATCTGCCAAGCCAGCCAGCTCGGCCCCTGTCATGCTCATTCCTCTTTCATATCCTCACTGTCCTCCTTGACACCTTCAGGAGGGTCACAGAGCTGCTGAAGACCTTCTGTGAGAGCAAGAGGTTGACCACAGATAAGGTGAGCAGGACTTCTGTTTGTCTGGGGCCTGGGCCAGGTTGAGTGGAAGAGGAAAGAGAACAGACTTGTGGGGAGGAAGATCTGAGTTTGAGACACCGTGGTGAGGTGAATCCTGAGTGTTGGTGGCAATGCTGGGGAAGATCTGACTTGGTGAGGGGTCAGCTCTATTGGGGGACAGGTCATGGAGCAGATTCTTTGAGTGATGGTGGTTAGGGTGAGTTTGAGTGGGCCGGGCCTTGAGGGTCTTTGGGTTTGGGGAGCCAGGATTGGATGGAGGGAGCACAGACCTAGGAGAAGCCGAGTGCTGGGGATGGGACCAGTTTGGATGGGCTGAGCCTCAGAAGTCAGGGTGCTTTGGGATAGGGATGGGTCCAGGTTGGGTGACTAGGCCTAGGGTATTGGGATGATGTTCAGCATATTAGGGGGAAGGGGCAGTTTGGAGGGCCTGAGCCCCACTGTTCTCTTCCCTCTCCTTCCTTGCAAGGCAAACATAAAAGACCTCTCCCACATCCTGAAAAAGATGCCCCAGTATCAGAAGGAACTGAACAAGGTGAGGGGAGCCTGGAGCCCACTGGGCAGGTGTATTTAGGGGACCCTCCTGAGCTGGCAGAAGCACTCTTTGAGTAAGGGGGCCAGGAATCCCACCTTCTTCCCAGCTTGCTCCCTGTGGCCTGGGCCAGACTCCTGCTGGCTTCTTCTCTGCCACCTAGTCATTTATCAAGTATTTATTAAGCTCTTACTGTATGCTAAGTGCTAGGGATATGATGAAAGGCAAAACATAGTTTTTTTTCTCAAGGAGCTCACAGTCTATTAGGGGAGACAGCTTGTAAACAGCTCCATACGAGGAGAGGGAGGGTGATCTGAGAGAGAAGCTTGGCACAATTTCCTCCCAATGGTGGAGTTTGAACTGAGTCTTGAAGAAAGCTGGGGTAGGGGGGACACAAGTGGGCAGGGATGAGGAGGGACAGCACGTCAAGCATGGGAGATGGCCACGATGATGGGAGATGGAGCGTTTCATTGGAGGAAGGCCAGCAGGGCTGGAGCTTAGGCTTTGTGGAGAGGGAGAAGCCTAACAAGGGAAGAAGGGGCTGGGTTATGTTGTGGAGTTTTCGGTGCCCACCATGAGGCTTGATCTTTAATTCGCAGTACTCGACACACCTGAACTTGGCCGATGACTGCATGAAACACTTTAAGGGCACCGTGGAGAGACTCTGCAGTGTCGAGCAGGTGGAGGGCCCTCAGCTCTTGGGGGTTCAGGGTGTAGCTTAACAGGGATGGGGTACCTGCAGCCTCAGGGTGACATGTGGCCCTGTGGCCCTCTAGGTCCTCAAGTGCTGCCCTTTGACTGAATCCAAACTTCACAGAGCAAATCCCCTTAATAAAATCTCCTAAGCCTTAGGACCTGGATGTGGAGGCTCAGGGCTCTAGGGGTACCAGGCTTAGTTCAGGGGCAGGAGCTCAAGGAATGCCCAGGGATCCTGAGGCTCCTGGGCTATGTGGGCCCCACAGTGGTGGCTGAACTCCTGCCTCCGGCCCCGGCTCCCCAGGACCTGGCTTTGGGCACAGATGCAGAAGGGGAGAAGATTAAGGATGCCATGAAGCTGATTGTTCCCGTGCTGTTGGACACTGGGGTCCCCCCGTATGACAAGATCCGTATCCTCCTACTCTATATCTTGCTGCGGAACGGTATGAGCATTGGACGGGAGGGGTGGAGGGGGTGGGGCCTCAGTCACTGCCCACTGACCCTCATTAATCCCTGACCTTTTCTCGGGGTACCCCGGGCCATGTCATGTGTCTAAACACGGCCTTATATACATGTGTGGGTGCTGTGCCCACCCACAGGAGTGACCGAGGAGAATCTGGCCAAGCTCATCCAACATGCCAATGTGCAGGCACACAGCAACCTCATCCGAAACCTGGAGCAGCTCGGGACCACAGTCACCGTTGCCACGGTACGGGGTCAGGAAGGATGGCAGCAGTCATTGTAGCCTCCTGGACTCTCCTTGGTGTGAGTAGGGGCAGTGTGTCAGCTCTCACCCTGGAAGCCAGCCTGGAGTGGAGAGGAGAAATCGAGACACGGTAGTGGGGATCTTCACAAATTCTTAACTCCATCCCATCTTCTTGAAGCCTCAGCCTCTCCCATTTCTCCCCTCTCTTCTGTACTGTCTCTGGGCTCAGCCTCTTGTCTTTCTCTGTCTCTCTTTCTGTCTGTCTTATTCTTCTTTCCAGCCTGGCCTGCTTTGCTGCCTGGGGAGGTGCTGCCCTCCCCTCCCCTTCTGGCCCTGTCCATGACCCCCTCCCCTCCATCCCCGCCCCAGGGCTCCGGGGCCCCTACCCGAGGAGATCGAAAGGAGAGGTTGGAGCCAACTTACCAACTATCCCGCTGGACACCCGTCATCAAGGACGTGATGGAGGTGAGAGGGAGGGCACTAATCCTGTGATCATTAGTTGCCTCCTGGCCTCCCCCAGCCTCCCTGAGCCCTGGCCTCCTGCTTCCCTATTTCCCTGCTCTGACTTTTCCCAGCCCCCACCCTCCCACACCCCCACCTCTCTTCCATCCACCTCCCCTGGCCCCCTAAGCCACAGCTAGGCTTAATGGCAAATCCCTCATTATGGGCATTATCCTGGCATCTGATCCATGATCCCTGGGAGGGGAAAACAAGAGGAGCCTCCCTGGAGGAGGTGGGGTGATAAGGGACACTCTGAGCCTGTGTGTGCTCCCTCCCCAGGACGCTGTGGAGGACAAGCTGGACCGGAAACTATGGCCCTTTTTATCTGACCCTGCCCCCGCCTCCAGCTCCCAGACTGCTGTCAGGTAAGGTCTGGGGGGGACTGTCATGTGCCATCAGCCAAGGCGGGGTCCTTGTGAACCATAGGCGGGGGGTGGGGAGAGGGGGCTTGATCCTCCCCTGACTCAGTAGTCCCTTTCTGTCCTCAGCGCCCGCTTTGGTCACTGGCACAAGAACAAAACTTCAGTGGAGTCTTCCCGGGCTGGGCCCCGACTCCTGGTTTACATGCTGGGTGGCGTGGCTATGTCTGAGATGCGGGCAGCCTACGAGGTGACCCGGGCCACTGAAGGAAAGTGGGAGGTGCTCATTGGTGAGTTGGGGCTGGCTCAGGTGCCTGAGGCCTTTGGAGAGTTAGAGTTGGGGGCAGGATGCCCAGATCCCTGAAGGGTGTGGGGGCTAGAAACACAGTCTCGGGGAGGAGGGGGCGAGCAGCTGGATCCTTGAGAGAGGTGGGCTGGACATCTGCTGCCTGAGTCTAGAAAGCATGGAAGCTTCACTTGGTCTTTCTGTGCCTGTCAGGTTCTTCCCACGTCCTCACTCCCACCCAGTTCCTGGATGACCTCAAAAGTCTGGACCAGAAGCTGGAGGACATCCCCATGCCTTGAGTTTGGAGCAGCTTGATGTAATCCCCTCCCCTCCCCAACAGGCAATAAAATCCCATGGACTCCCAACCTCACCTCACCCCCCCTCTGGGTCACCTTCTTCCTGCGTCAGATCTTCATAGCAGGCCCTGACTTCAGTGAGGCTTCGCCATTGGAGCAGAGGAGCGAGGGGACCAGATGCGGCATCCTTTGATGGCTCCGTGACCTCACTGACATGGGCATTCCCTCCAGGTTCCCAGCCCATCAGCACCTTCTTAGTCCGTGTGGCCCTCGTCCCCGTCTCCTCCTGTTTGAGGCAGCGTCTGCCTGACAGTCTGGTGGCCTTCCTCGAGTTCTCTTCACATTCTGTGGCTTCCAGCCCCGTGCTCAGATGTCCCTCTGTCATCCCTCAGTCTCACTGCTGGGCTGACCTGCTTCCTTTTCTAATCATGTGGCTTTGGCTGGGGTATGAAGGTTAGATTGGAGGGGAAAGACATGGGAGTTGGAAGACAGTAGTTTAGGCTGGTGACAATGAACTCCTGGATGCGTGGTGGTGCTGGCCACTGGTGTCCCTCTTTTGGGGATCTATGGACTCATTATAAAGAAAGTAAGGGATTTTCCCCTAGATTAGGGGCTCTTAACTTGGGGGTCTGTGGGTAGATTTTCTGGGGCTCTGTAAACTTCAATGGGAAAAAAATTACATCTTTATTTCATTTCAAATTACATTCTTTATTTCATAATTGGTTTCCTTTGTAATCCGAGAGGTCCATAAGCTTTACCAGGCTGACCATCAGAGGGGTCTGGGGCATAGAAAAGGTTAAGACACCCTGCCCTGGATGGCCACTCATTCCCACGTGCTGCCACAACTTCCCTTCCCTTCTGCCCCAGGTTCATAACAACACCTTGGTCCTGTCCTTTCACTGGGGAGAGGGGTAAGGCAGACCCTCAGATAATATGTCTTGGGCAATGGGTGTGTCATGACCTCCCAGATATTTGTAAAGTGTGGTCTTTGCTAACATTCTCCGGCTACGAAGATTAAGAACAAGATGGCCCCTGCCCTCGAGTGAACTGAGCCAATTCACTTCCCCATCTCGGGTGAGGTTTCCTTATCTATACGATGAAGGGGTTGGGCTAAATGCCCTCTAAGGCCCCATCCAGCTCTGGGTCTATAGTCCTGTGGGGACAGTGTCCTAAGGCATTTTCCTAAGCATTAGGAGACTCACTTTGGCTCCAAGGGGAGAAGGGCAAAGCTCAGGGCAGGGAGACCCATACAGGTGAAAGGGAATAGGGAGGGCCATGAGAGTGGGACCAGGAAAAGAGGTGGGTCTGAGTAGTATGGAGGTAAATGGAAGTGATTAGATGTGGGGAGTGTGGGGGAGGAATGAGTCAGAAGATGGCAGTTTTTTGAGCCTGGGTGATAGGGAGGATGGTGGCATCAGTGGCAATAGGGAAGTCATGAGGACAAGCTTCTTTGTGTAAGGGGAAAGATATGAGCGCCATTTTGGACGTGTTGAATTTGAGGTACTAGTGGGACGTGGGTCTAGAGTTGGGGGAGGAGAAAAGGGATAGGACCAGATAGAATGTGCAGAGAGGAGGCCAATAGCAGGCCCCATAGGGAAGCAACCCCATTAAGGGGCAAGGAAGAAGATTAGGACTGGGTGTGGTAGGCTGCAGAGAGCATCAGCTTGGTAGTCAGAGGCTGGCCTCCTGATTCTGGCTTTTTGGCTCTGATCAAGTTGCTTCCCATTTGGCCCTTCAGATTTCCTCATGTGTAACAGGGTAAGATTGGTCCAGGTATCTCTAAGGTAGCTTTTCCCCAATGCAAATCTAGGATTCTGTATATATTTTTTTTTAATTTTTTTTCCTTTAGAAAAACCTGGAAAGACTTGGGTGGACTGATGCTGAATCAAGTGAGCAGAACCAGGAGAATGTTGTACACAGTAACAGCCACGTTGTGCGATGACTAATATTGATAGACTTAATGTTTCTCAGCAGTACAAGGATCTAAGACATCTCCAAAGGTCTCGTGATGGAAAATGCTATCCACATCCAGAGAAAGAACTATGGAGTTTGAATGCAGATCAAAGCATACTATTTGCTATTTTTTTTCCTTCTGTTGTGTTTTGTTTCCTCTTTCTGGTTGTCCTTCCTATTGGTTCTAATTCTTACTTACAACGTCACTAATGTGAAAATAATAGAAATGTGTAGTCTACATCAGATTGCCTGCTGTCTTGGGGAGAAAGGGGGAGACAAATTTAAAACTCAAAAGCTTATGGAAGTGATTGTTGATAAATCAAAATAAATTAATTAAAATTTTTTTTCCATAAGTGATTGTTGATAAATCAAAATAAATTAATTAAAATTTTTTTTCCACTTAATAGTATTTTTTTTCAATTACCACATAAAGGGGGGCAGCTAGGTGGATCCAGCCTCAGACAAACACTTAACATTTACTAGCTGTGTGACCCTAGGCAAGTCACTTAACCCTAATTGCCTAAAAGCAAACAAACAAACAAAAATCAATTACATGTAAAGATAGTTTTCAACATTCACTTTTATTAGATTTCAAGTTCCAGATTTTTTTTTTCCCTCCCCAAAATGGTAAGCAATCTGATATAGGCTATACACGTACAATCATATTAAACATATTTCCACGTTAGTCATGTTGTGAAAGAAGGATCAGAACAAAAGGGGAAAACCATGAGAAAGGAAAAAAAAGTGGATAGCATTTTCTATCTCGAGTCTTTTGGAATAGTCTTAGATCATTGCATTGCTGAGAAGAGCTAAGTATCAAAACTAATATGATTCCATATTTCAATGAAGTAGGCAGAGAAGGAACAGCCAGAGGGGTAGGAGGAAAGCCGAGTGAGTCATCTAGGGGATTGGAAGTGTCTAGGTGGAGGGGGTTGTCATCAGTATTAAAAACTGCAGAAGGGTCAGGAGGATGAGGAGTGAGAATAGGGCCTTGGATTTGGCACGAGGACTTTGTGGACTGTTGGAAGACAGGTGGGGATGTCCGGAAGCTGGCTTTCAAGGAGTGAGGAGTAGTGATGAAGGCAGGGATAGAAGAACTAGGAGATTTTTGCCAGAAGATAGAGGTCTGGTAGAGGGCAGAGTTATAACTAAGAGGTTTGCCCCAGGTTGCCAAGACTTGGAAGGTGCCAACTGAACCTGCACTCTAGCTGCAGACAGATGAGTACAGTTGCTCGCTGTAAAGTTTATTGGGAAGCTAGGTGGCTCACTGGATACAGCAACAAGCCTGCAGTAAGGAAGACTCATCTTCCTGAGTTCAAATCTGGCCTTGGTCACTTGCTAGCTGTGTGACTTCTGGGCGAGTCACTTCACCCTGTTTGCCTCAATTTCCTCATCTGTAAAATGAACTGGAGAAGGAAATGGCAAACCACTCCAGTATCTTTGCCAAGAAAACTGAGTTGTACACAACAGAACTTTATTACTTAAAATTGGAAGCTACCAGATGGTTCATACTTCCTCTCTCCAGCTATTGCACCCCTGGTGACCACCTCCCTTCCCCTTTGAGGCAGAGTGCCCTTATTATCTTGGGTCACTGCGCCCTTCCCCCAATTGAGTTTGTCTCAAAAGGTTGACTTAAGGGTGTTATTTAGGGAGAAGGATAGGGTTGCTGCCATGTTTTATAAAGCTTGCCCTAGAGTTAAGAAAATGGTAGTTATCGCTCACCAAGAAGGAAATAGGAGGGACCAATGGGAAAAAGCCAGTGGCAAAGAAAGCAATCGTGGGGCGAGGGTAGGAGGGGCCAACAGCAAAACTGTTGTGGGTGAGTAGTCCTGGGGCACTCCAACTTTACATAATTGGGCTCTGAGGCCCTACTAAGCATGGTGATCCAGCCTTCTCTGGGTGAGGGATCCTTCCCTTAGAAAGCGAAACTCATAACACAATAGGAATGGAGCTCCTCTCCCCTATGTACGCCAATATATCCCAAGTCTAGAACGTTAAAAAATGGATACCTTGTTTTTATGTAACTTTCAATTCCCAACCTATCCCTCCTCCCCACCTTACCAGTGAGCTATTGCTTACAAAGTGCCTTACAATTATGATCTCATTTGGTCCTCATGAACAACCCTGGGAGTTAGGTTCTATTATTATCATCTCCATTTTACAGATGAGGAAACTGAGGCAGACAGGTTAAGTGACTTGTCCAGGATCATAAACAGCTGGTAGGTGTCTGAGGCTGGATTTGAATTCAGGTCTTTCTGTCTCAAGGCCCAGAGCTCTATTCATTGTGCCACCTAGCTGATAACCAAGAAAAAAAGAGAAGAAAAATATTTACTTCAGCAAAACTAACCAACACACCCAAATGAGTCCAACAATTTATAGAGTATTTGACATCCCTAGTCCCCACCCCTTTATTTTTCAAGCCTTTCCCGGTTCTCGAAGCTATCCACCTTGGGAATGCCACTGATAGCAGAAGAATGCTCTGGGGGCAGCTGGGTGGCGCAGTGGATAGAGCACTGGTCCTGGAGTCAGGAGGACCCGAGTTCAAATCCAGCCTCAGACACATAACAGTAGCTATGTGACTTGGGGCAAGTCCCTTCACCCCAATTGCCTCACCAAAAACAAACAAAAAAAGCAAGAAGAATGCACTGGCAGCTGGGAGAAAGATCAGTGGAGCAGGGAGAGGCCAGGCAGCAGAAGACCCCTTAGGAGGCTAATACAGTTGTGCAGGGAAGAGGGGATGAGAGCCTAAACGAAGGCTGTGGCTTGTAAGTGAAGAGAAGGGGGCGATGTGAGAAGGGAGAGGAAGCCAGGGGCAGGGTGAGGTGGTTGTGAGGCTGAGTGACTGGAGGCAGGGTGGTGCCCTCAGGAGAAACAAGGAAGTTAAGGAGAGGGGACAGTTTAAGGGGAAGATGGTGACACCCATTTCACACATGCTGAGTTTGAGAACCCCAGTAGGGGTGGAGGGGTCCAGTAGGCATCATGTTGGACTTCTCAGGGTAGATTTTAGAGCGGATTCTATGGGCCTGGGAGACATCTGCATAGAGATGATAATTGAACTCCTGAGTTGATGAGATACCCTAGGAATGTAGCCTACATTCCTCATTAAGAAAGCACATTTTTC